TGCCAAATAAAATTTCTCATAAATAAAAAAATAAATATATAGAGAGATTTTGCAAAAAGAAAGTAGTAGATGTTAAAGTTTTATTTCATAAACTAAAATCATCTCAGGTTTGATTCAATGATAATTGACATATATCTCCAATCAGAGGTTGTGAGTTCGATCCTCCACCCTATGTTGTATCAAATATGTATATATATATCACATTTTTGCATATATGTTGATAGCTGCCTAGATGGAAACGGTTTGGTTCATTCTTTATTGCACCGATTTATGACCAATAAATAAATAAACATAATTCTTACTTTATATGTATAAAAATATTTGCTACTTGATTCAGAAGATAGCTAATTAAGTTGTCAACTATGGTTATAAAATTAAAAAAAAAATGATGCAACCTTGAGTCAAGCCAAAAGAAACCAACCCGAACCACATAATTCATGGTAATTTTTTTTTCACAAAGTTTGAAGAAGAATGGTGTTAATTTCTCAAATCTCCCCCTTTTTTAAGATTGATTTAGGAAACAAAAATCAAAATGAAATAAATAAAATAAATTATAACGCGAATGTGTTATTTATCAAAGAAAATATGTAAAAGAAATGGTGTGAAAAAGGAATATGCATTTAAAATAAAAGAAATAGGGATGCCATGAATGGCATTAAAAATGATGTTTTCAATTTTTAAATAGAATTCTTATTCTCTCTCACACATCAAGAATCTGGACTTTTAGATGAAAATTTTATATTTCAAGTGGACGTGTGTGTGTGTGTTTTTTTTTCAAGTGGAAACTCGATTTATTCTACAAAAGTTTGTAAGCTGTAGAAGTTTGAATATAATATAATAATAGGCAAATGGTTGAGAAATTTACCTAAACTATTTCCATAAAGCAACTAATTTCCTAAATTGATATGATTAAAAAATATTGTTATAATATCATGTATCTTTAATATTCAACAAGTCTTAACTACTAAAAATGTGTCAAATAAGGCATCTATCTCTAACCAGAAGGTCATGAGTTCGAATCCCCACCCCCATATGTTGTACTAAAAAAAAAACTACCAAAAATGTTAAATACTACCTAAGTCAATATTTCATATTATTTTTTCATTGTAACAAAATTCACACAACGTCTTTATATATCTTTTTTATTATTTATTTTCTAAAGTTAAATATATGTTTACAAAATATAATTATAAAAAAATAATAAAACACACCCATCTTAGTGTTTTATTATAAGACTTAGTTACTAGATGGGTGTGTTTTATTATAAGACTTAGTCTAACCTAATTACTAAGGCGAACATTTCTACCAATAATCATCTCAGGCCTTTTCTCTTAAAGAGGCTAAGTGATTTTTTAAAGTTTGAATTTGAAAAGTAATTCTAAACTCTATTTCCTATATTCAATTCTCAAGTTTATCTATAGAAGGTTGCATAGCTAGATACGAGATGCTAATACTTTTGTACCTCTTTTTCCTTCATCAAAATTCTATTTTTCAACTTTTTGTAAAGAGTAAGAGAATCTAAAATAAACTAGAAACATTCTCCAAGATTTTTATACCCATCCCAAGTCTTTCCTAGAAGATACATTTTTCTTTTTAAGCTTTCTCAAAAGTCAAGTAAATTAAAAGAAAAAAAAAACTATATCCTTGTCCCTTTGAATGTAGGCCATGGAATTAATTCCCTTCAAATCATAAGAAAACAAACCCACTAAGATGCATAATACTTGCAAAATAACTTAATTAACACTTTAACCAAACACCTCCCATCCCATAAAAGCTTATTTAGACATTCCTCTCTCGAAAAGAAGGAATTTGAAAAGAAAAAAAATTAACAACCAATAGAGTGAATTACAAATTTTAATAATACCTTTCGTAAATAAAAAGGCATCTTCACAAATTTGTCAATGTGGAATAAAAGATAAGTTCTATCATATTAACATAGAAGAAATATAACACGATTCAATACAAATTGACAATATAAGTATTAAATTGAATAAATAAAAATTGTGATCTTTTGGAGGATTAGGAGGTAAATAAGGTTTTATTAAGAAATTACAAAGCAATAGGGCAATGTGTGTGACAAATGGGATGGTTGCTATCTTGAGGTATAGTTATATATTTGCCCAAAATTTCAAAGGTGGAGTATGAGTGGCAGAGAGTAGAGGCAATATGCCCAAAGGAAAGGATTTGACTTCACAAGGGCCCCAGCAATCCAACACACTTATTCTTTGAGTCATATCTCTGGTTATTAATTGAACCAAAAAAAAAAAAAAAGTGTCACCCATTAATGAATGGAATCCTTCCACCCATCTGGCTAGCTAGGCTGACTCTGTATTAAAAAATAAAAATAAAAAATCATTTGAGTTATTATATTTTTTTTTTCAAATTTTAAGTTAAAATACTATTTTGTTCGTATACTTCCAACTTAATTTCATTTGGTCCCTGATTTTAATCTATAAATGGAGTAGAGTTTAGTGTGTAGGTTTGAAAGCTGAAGAGATCTTAGACCATACGACACTTAGTGGTCTATGCAAAGGAGCTCTTGCAAGACCAAAATCGAGATGTAAACAAATTTAGAGAGATCGAATTGAAAAATTGAAAATTTTATATGATAAAGACCAAATTGAAACTAAAGTATAAATTATAAGGATTAAAATAATAATTTAACGATTTCTTTTAGGTGGGAATATTGAAAGTAGCTTTTAAAAGGGAAGAAAACAAAAGAAAACAAAATATGATGCACTGTCAAGAGATAGTCCAAAGGCTTTGGCATGGATGCTTAAGCACAGCCACATTTGACATCAAATTTCATCCAATGTTTTATCTTAGCTTTCTCCCTTCCTTGAAGCCCAAAATAGAAAGTTCTTTTTCTCCCTCCTCTTACTTCTCCAGTATTTTGGCTATTTTCAATTGAGAAAGAAAATGAAGTGAATCTCAATTAGCACCCATTATATTCTCCACTTGCTCAACTGGATTTGGGTTTTCTGTAGATGCTGTGGTTGGGGAATAAAGAAAGAAAACAAAATGGATAACCTAGTCTACAAAATAACACAAACATTTACTGAGCTTCACTAATTTTACCTTCTTTTTTTTTTTTTAATTCAACACGGGCAACTTTATAGTCAGAATATATGAACATTTGAGAAGAATTGATCCAAAGGAAAATTAAAAAAAAAAAAAGAAGAAGTCAACCAAAAGTTTCACTCTGCACTTAACAGCCCGAGAAAATCCCATTATTTTTATTTTAACTGTTTTTTTTTTACATGAAATACAGTTGAAAAAATTTACATAATTGAAAAGAAATATTAAGAACAAGTGATTTTGTGGATAGGGAAGGGCAAGATCGATAAGAGGCAGGTGGTAGTTTTTCGTGGGAGTTTGAACATGAGGTGGCTTTAAAAAACTGAACCTGAAGAAGAATATTTAAGAGGTGGCTTTAAAAAACCGAACCAGTTGAAGAATCATACATTGAACTTTTATATGCTGTGAATTTAGAGCTCAAAAAATGGCTGGTGTCAATCCTTCTCTTAGACATTCTTCCACCTGGGCTTTCGTTTTCTAGAGAAAGTCATATGGCATGAATCTAAAAGAAATCCGCCAGCATAATTTTTAAAATAAACCCTAGCAAGAATTCGGGTGGTCAATAAACAAAATTCTAGGAAATGCAAATCTTTCACCCTCTGTTTTTGGATTTGGTCAATTTAAGTTGCTAGATATGGAAAAAATTTAGAAGAGATCGTGGCTGACAGAATTATTGTAATTCAAAAATCAAGTTTGATTCTTCTCATAAGGGCAGAAAGGCAAATTAATAAAATAAAACAAATCATTCAATAATATAGAACTGTTAATATATTATCAAAAATATATATATATTTAGGATAGCTAAAAAATCTGTAGTTATTCTCTGGGGACGACACATTTATGACAATTTCTGAAAACAAACCTATAAAGTACTAAATGTTATACTAAAAAAAAGGGTACTAAATGTTATATATATATATATATATATATATATCTTTGGAAATCTTTTTTTCAAGAAAAGGTATAGAAATGAAAGGGGTAGCTTTTAGAGTTATTAGCATTTATAGCCATAAATATGACAATTCATAAAAATTATAAAATTAAGGAAAAAAATAAAAGAAATAGCCCCTACAAAAACCACATCAATAGGCAATATGTGCAAATATGTTAATCTAAACATGAAAAATTTTGAGTTCAACGAACATTGGTGGAATTTGAATATTCGACCTCTTAATTGAAGGCAAAATAGGGGAAAAAAGACTTAAAAACATTAGGATTTGCATGCATCATTTAATAACCCCAACCTCAAACATCATGTAAAAATTTTATTATAATTAATGGGTGATTTCAAATTTAGAATCAATGGTAACAAACAAATTCACTAAATAAATCAGAAAATAAAATTCTATAAATAATGAAATATTATACTATTTCCTTAAAATCAGATACATAATAATTAAATGAAAGTCTAATATAAAAACAATTAGAAAATTGGATAACTAAATCCCTCTATGTATATGAGAAATGTGGCTCGTTTTTTAGACTCGAAATCTACCACTTGCTAGAGAGGTATAATATGAAAAAGGGCAAAAAAGAATTAAGGGTCTAATATGAAATGAGAGATATAATGGCTTATGGGTCAAATTTGAACGGGGTATAATATAATGTGAAAATTAAGAAAATTAAAAAAAGAGAAAAATAAGGTTATAAAGAAGTACCAACAAGAAGAAGTGGAGTAGACAAATGGGTGACCGTGACTGTGTCCTCTGCCCACCGATTGCGTCTGCTCAACACGTTGTCTTCCAATAGAGAAATAAATTAGTCAGAATAATAATGATGATAAGCAACAAAATTATCTTTAAAAGATTAATTTTAAAACCCCAACAACGGCCATTAACCCCCACTTCCCACCTCAACCCAACGACAAAAGTAAACGCTAGATGAGAACTAAATATAGTGGGAGGGGAGTAAGAGCAAAAAACCCCATTGCCATTGCTTATTTTTATATATATCTTAGACTTTCCAATGTCAACGTCACCATCTCTCTCTCTCTCTCCATTCCCCCATTTTCTCTCTCTATTCTTCCTTTTTTTTTTTTTTTTGGGTCAATGGTTTCCCCAATCTTGTACAAGGTAACCCTGAAGCCTGATTATGACTATGTACTTGGAAGCTAGGTTCTTCCTCTTCCTACAACTTCCTTGTTCCTCTCCACCTTGCTCTTCCACTCTCCTTCTTGTAGTCTTTTGTTTTTCAGATGAGAGATGATAGAATGGCCACCTTGGTTGGTGGTCTCATTCATCACCAGCCTTTATTGCCTAATTTCTCCATTCACCTCTTTGTTTTGACCCTGTTTCTGGTTTTACAATTCTTTCCTCCTTTCTCTGTTTCGGCTTCTTGTAACCCATCTGATCGCGATTCTCTCTGGTATTTCATCAATTCTTCATCTGTTGCCCCGGGTTTCAATTGGTCTTCTTCGATTGATTGCTGCTTCTGGGAAGGAGTGTTTTGTGAAGCAATCGCGAACAGCGATGACGCCCGAGTTACCCAGCTTTTGTTGCCTTCTGCAGGTCTTCGTGGAGATTTTCCTCCATCTCTCAAAAACCTTACTTATCTCGCTCACCTTGATCTCTCCCACAATCGCCTCTCGGGTTCCCTCCCTTCTGATTTCTTTACATCCCTAACTCGCCTCAAGGTCCTGAATTTGAGCTACAACCGTCTCACCGGCCACCTGCCGCCGCCGCCGCCACCGCCGTCCGGACTTGTGATTGAGACTCTGGATTTGTCCAGCAATCAATTCTCGGGGACAATAACTGCTTCGTTTATCCAGCAAGTGGCAATTTCGGGGAGTTTGACCAGTTTCAATGTCAGCAACAATAGTTTTACAGGTCCCATCCCAACCTCCTTCTGTGTTAATAATACTACATCCATAAGTTCCGTCAGGTTATTGGATTTTTCCTCTAATGAATTCGACGGTGGAGTACCTCAGGGGCTGGGGAACTGCCCCAATTTGGAGGTTTTTCGAGCGGGTTTCAATAGTCTCTCAGGTTCTATTCCCTCCGACCTTTACGATGTTCTCACCCTAAAGCAGCTTTCTTTGCATGTTAATCACCTTACGGGGAACATCGGCGAGGGAATTGTTAACCTCACCGGCCTCAGAATCCTAGAATTGTACTCCAATTCTTTGATTGGCCCCATCCCGCCGGATATTGGAAAGCTCTCCAACCTGGAACAGATATCGCTTCACATTAACAATCTCACAGGCACTCTGCCCACATCATTGATGAATTGCACCAATCTTACTTTGTTGAATTTGCGGGTCAATAAGCTGCAAGGAGATCTCTCTAATGTTGATTTCTCTCGCCTCCTTAAGCTCACCACACTTGACCTTGGCAACAATATGTTCACAGGTAGTATACCTTCGAGTCTTTACTCGTGCAGGTCTCTAAAGGCAGTTAGATTAGCCAGTAATCAGCTTTCTGGAGAAATCTCTCAAGAAATTGCAGCACTTCAATCACTGTCCTTCCTCTCAGTTTCCAAGAACAATCTAACCAACTTAAGTGGAGCTTTAAAGAATTTGATGGGTTGCAGAAACCTTGGAACTCTTGTCCTCTCCAGTAGTTATATTGGTGAAGCATTGCCGGATGAGGATATAATTATAGATGCAAACACATTCCAAAACATCCAGCTTTTGGCTATTGGAGCTAGTAAGTTAACTGGTAAAGTACCCTCGTGGATAGAAAAGCTCAGGAATCTAGAGGTTTTGGATCTGTCATTTAATCGTCTTGTGGGTTCAATACCTGAATGGTTGGGTAATTTTCCGAGTCTATTTTATGTTGACTTGTCTAATAATAGAATATCCGGAAAATTCCCCACCCAGCTTTGCAGACTGCCGGCTTTGATGTCGCCGCAGATTCTAGATCCAGCAAAACTGAGTTTTCTTGCACTGCCCGTCTTTGTTGCACCTAATAATGCTACCAATCAGCAATACAATCAGCTTTCCAGCCTTCCACCAGCTATATATTTGGGCAACAACACCATAAGTGGCACTATTCCCTTGGAGATTGGGCAATTGAAGGTTATACTTGTATTAGACCTGAGCAACAACAGCTTCTCCGGCAGCATACCAGATACAATTTCCAATCTCAGCAACTTGGAGAGATTGGACCTCTCTCGTAACCACCTAACTGGTGAAATCCCCCGTTCCCTCGGAGGTCTCCATTTCTTGTCTTGGTTTAGCGTGGCCTTTAACGACCTTCAAGGACCAATACCAACTGGGGGTCAGTTTAATACCTTTGGAAGCCCTAGCTATGAAGGAAATTCAGGGTTGTGTGGTCCTCCTATAGTGCAGCGCTCGTGCTCTAACCAGACTATAGTAACCCATTCTGCTGCTCAAAATAAAAGCATAAGTAAAAAACTTGCCATAGGATTAGTGTTCGGTATCTGTTTAGGTGTTGCTGTCATCATCACCCTGCTAGCGTTATGGATATTATCCAAGAGGAGAATTGATCCGAGAGGGGATGCCGACAAAATTGACTTGGACATGATTTCAATTAGTTCTAATTACAATGCAGACAACAACACGAGCATAGTCATTTTGTTTCCAAACAATGGCAACAACATCAAGGAGCTTACCATTTCTGACATAATAAAGGCCACTGATGATTTCAATCAAGAAAACATAATTGGCTGCGGTGGTTTTGGCTTGGTATATAAAGCAATATTAGCAAATGGGACGAGACTTGCTGTAAAGAAACTCTCGGGAGACTTGGGACTGATGGAAAGGGAATTTAAAGCAGAAGTAGAGGCTCTGTCTGCGGCCAAACACCAGAACCTGGTTACTCTTCAAGGTTACTGTGTGCATGAGGGAAGTCGGCTGCTAATGTATTCATACATGGAAAATGGAAGTTTAGATTACTGGTTGCATGAAAAGGTTGATGGTCCATCTCAACTTGATTGGCCAACTCGGCTGAAGATTTTGCGAGGAGCAAGTTCTGGATTGGCTTACATGCACCAAATATGTGAGCCACATATTGTACACCGTGATATCAAGTCCAGTAACATCCTGCTCGATGAGAAATTCGAAGCTCATGTTGCAGATTTTGGACTATCTAGATTGATCAATCCTTACCAGACTCATGTTACAACCGAACTTGTTGGCACCTTAGGATACATTCCTCCAGAGTACGGACAAGCATGGGTCGCCACTTTGAGAGGAGATATGTACAGCTTTGGTGTGGTCATGCTTGAGTTGCTTACTGGTAAAAGACCTGTAGAGATATCAAAACCAAAGGCATCAAGAGAGTTGGTTGGCTGGGTGCAACAAATGAGGAGTGAGGGCAAACAAGATGAAGTTTTTGACCCAATCCTGAGAGGGAAGGGCTCTGAAGAAGAGATGCTCCAGGTTCTAGATGTTGCCTGCATGTGTGTCAGTCAGAACCCCTTTAAAAGACCAACCATCAAGGAAGTTTTTGTTTGGTTGAAAGATGTGGGAGCGACCAAAGTTCAGCAAAATAAGGATGTGTGAAAATGCACTTCTATAAATGAGGACAGATATCATACTTGCACAAAAGAAAAAATAAGTTTTTGTTTCTTTTCTAATGCAAGCAACCTTTTTACTACAGTTCTATATTCTGGTGTAAATGATAAAGGAGCAGTTGTATTTATTAAAGTTACTTTTTTTGTTCATAATTCTGGCATCTGACTCTAAGCTCGTGAAGAATGTTTTTTAGCTTGTATCTGCAAAATTATAACCCTGAAATAGGATGTATTTGATTATCGAAAAAATAAGGCCAAATACTATTACTGAAGAGCACGTGAGCAGGAAAAAAATTCACATCAATATGACTTGAAAATTTTATACGTTATACCAGCAGTTAGTGGACCTTCAAAAGGAGATCTAATAAAAGATATCCAGATAGCAATACTAGGCTTGAAAATCGGTCAGAATTAACCGGACCATCAGCTTGTAGCAAATTCCAAACAGAAGGTCTACGGAGACAAATGGATCAGTCATGCGGTCCTTGGTTGGTCACTTGGAGTGATTGTAAAATTGTCAATGGCGGTTTAATATGGTGTGCCAGCCGGTTTTATGTGGTTTTAGGTCCGTTTTATGCATCTTTACTAACACCAGTCAGTTCTCTTTTTCACCAACTGGATCGATGTCAATGGAATTGGTTCAACCATTAGTAAAATTGTCAGTGACCCTATGCAATAGAAACGTATGGTAGTAATAATCGGATATAACATTCTACAACCTACAAACGTTAGGACGCGAATGTAGAATAATATCCCAGATAAAGACAGGTACAGCAGAAAACATGAACAATACAGCTGCTGAGTCTGTGACTAAGCTACATGGGGTGAAATCTCATTGTTAAAAACTTCAAAACCACAACAAACACGAAAACACAATGGGAAATGTATGTAATTTGAGAGAGGCAGAGAGACGGAAATGCAACTTTCTGAGAACTATATCCACTGTTACTAGGGAAACTAGATAGATTAAAGGAAGTGGTTGTTCTCTCAATTATTTTCAGCTATTCTTTCTTTATAACAAGTATACTATGGCAACGACAACCACCAACAAAAGAAATATCGAATGGTCCAAAAATAGCAACTCCGTTCTCCAAAGCCTATACAATAAAATTACGTCCAACTCACGGCATTCCTACAACTCCTAAGAGGGATGGTCCACTCGTCCAACTGACATCGACTCTCCTGAATATCGATTCACCTAACTAACTATATGCAGAAACAATCATGACTCATGACATTGATTTCATACTCGGAAAAAAAAAATCGAACACTCGTAAATCGTAAACAGATCAATTATGGATATACTACTCGTTCGATCAGTCTGTGAGCTGAATTTCGAAATGTACCTTTCAGATTCCAGAAAATAAACTGCCTCCATTGATATTTTGGAATGTTTGCCGGGAATAATTAATTCTTTCGCTAGTGACATTTTCAGCACGTTCCTAATTTCCTCATCTTCATTCTCCACTGCATTGGTATCTGGCGAATCTTCAGCATAATTTCTCGAGCTTCATAGCTATATGGCAAACAAATTTAGTATACACAGTACCGGAGGTAGAAATTTGCAGAATGAAAAGAGAATCATACAAAATGGAACCAGGAAATCAGTAGAAATATAAAGAAAATCGAAATACCAACGGAAGCTATATACATTTCAGAGCAATGTGGACTGAAGAGCGGATGATTTTGAGTTCTCCGGGATAATGACCATCGGAGAGACCGTGGAGGAGGGAAACTGAAATTGCGGGCTTGTAAATTTGCGGACGGGCTCTCCTACTTTGATCTTATTATGAAGTTGCCCCGTTTATCTTATTAAATTCCGAAGTTTGGCCATGAAACTGTAAGTCCGTAACTGCCCCGTGCTTTTCGACGTCTTGGACCGCTGTTGCTGAATTGGGCCCATGTGGGCCTGAAATTTAATGGGCGATATGACATGAGAATGGGAGCGTCCTGCGTAATTAGCCCACGTGTAAATGCATTTTATAATGAGAGGTATTTACCTAAATAGCATAAAATAAAAGTTTAAATATTGTTTTGATTTGCTTCATTTCTATTTCTGTTTACTTTGGTCGTCTCCTCTCTAACTTTTTGTTCATTTTAATTTTTATATTTTTGAAACATTTATTTTATGGTCGCTATATTTATAAAAAGTGATCACTTTAGTCTCTTCTATTTTTTTTATTTTTATCTCATCTATTTATTTCGATCACAATTTTAACATAATACTTCATTCACTAAATTTTTTAAAATATAATCATAAATTTTGTATTAAATGATTTTTATTATGTATAAAATTTATGTTAAATCTTTGCAAATAGGGATTAAAATGACAATTTTTATTACAGGATTAAAACGGATGTTTTAATGTACATGGACTAAGACAAACAAAAATTAAAAGTGTATAAATTAAAATATACTTTCTAACCAAAATGAACTAAATCTATATAAATCTAAAAGTATATAGACCAAAATATTATTTAAACGTAACATAAATATGAATTTTTGAATATAGTAGAAATGTTAAAATTTTATAAAAATAGCAAAGTCAAATAAAACTCAAACTCAAAGGTAATGTGAAGCGGAAACGTCACACTTATAAATGTTTGAAAAAAATGAAAAATTGTGAGATTTTCACTTTTGATGTTATCAAAGAAATTTTAGATAATTACAATATAAATAATATATTTTTTATAACAATTTTGTATAAAATTAGATTATTTGGAAATTTTAAATTCATAAAAATACATATAGGTTTGAATCTTATTTTAGCATCAACCTCCATTAATTAAAGAATTTTAATTGCACTAAAAAAATAATAACAAAGCCCGTTAATAGATTTGAATCCTATCCTTTCATACTTGTGATGTAATAGTTTTTTTTTTTAAAATATATATATATATTATAGTTTCCGAACTTTTATATTGGTCATTTATTTGAGTTCAAGAGCTTTCAAGTTTCAAACGAAAAGATGAAAAATTCTTTGCTCTTTGGGTAGTTGGGTTTGCTAACAAGAGTTTTGTTATATTTTCATACCTACCTAATAGTGTTTGGTTCTGTTTTTTTAAGCTTTTTCTTTCTTTCTTTTTTTTTTCTTTGCTCTTTTCAACTTTGTCAAGCAATTGAAAATATATTAGGAAATATTTCACAATACTTGGTTAGCAAGTCCCATAGTTCAGACCTCTTATTTGAAAAATTAGAGGGGTTTTTTCCCTTTTTTTTTTGGTAACTTTTTGGGCTTATTGTTATTTTGAATATACATACAAGTAATCTAGGCTTCGAAACTTTCACACAAATTCACTTGAAAAATTGTAACGTCTTAGAAGATAAACAATATCAATGAACTTTAGTATAGTCACGCCGAAAGTATTATTTTGTATTACAATAGTCCATATTCTTCAAATGTATTTTTAAGAAATATGAAAACAAAACAAAAGAAATTATAAAAAAAACGATCATAACTTTTTTAAAATATAAAACTAAAAATATAATGGTCATCAAACAGAGACTTTATTGATTAATTTTATTACTGTCATTTCGAAAATTCTTAACCTTTAAAAATGTTTTCAAACATCTAGAAAATAAATGATCATAAAGTTAGACGTTAGACATACATAGAGGAGATTTCTTTCCCTCCTTTCATTTGGAAAACTTTCTAGTACTCCAATATAAAACATACTTCATTCGTAGATACTATTAAATTTTTTTCATTATGTATATATTTTTTTAGTACAATATGTAAAGATAGGGGATCGAACTCCTAACTCTTGATTAAAGATATACGTCAATTATTGCTGAGATATATTCGCTTTAGCCATAAATCATTATTTAATGTTACTAGAATTCACATTATTTTTAAATGATGCTTACAGATTGAACAATGGATGAGAATAGTATTACTACTTATGTTATGGGGAGAGAAAAGGAGAACGGACCAAGCAACGAGGGCCGAAGGAAACCCGAGAGAAGGCACGAACCAGGAGAGGGGGGCCGGCACCTGACGACCCAAGCCGGCCCCCGACCGACCAATGGTCAGCGCACTCCTCGGCGCCCAGCAGTTCTCGACCCCCCAACCGAGAACTGTAGCGGTTCATCCCGACCGTTTCGCAGTCCCACCCGAATTGTCCTGCATTGATTCTCAATTTAACCTAAAGCCCACAATGAAGTGAGCGGGCCCAGATGTATGAGGATTCGACTGGGGTAAATTCTAAAGAGATTAGAATTCGACTTCTATAAATAAAAAAAGTGTGAGTCAAACCCTAGAGGTATGCCAAAATACCATACTCTCTACCTTCGACTGCTCTGATACTAACTTAAGCATCAGAACCCGTGTGACAAGAGCACACCGGTCTTAGTGCTATTCTATTTTGCAAGTCTCATCGGTCTCATTATTCTAGAAGTTTTGTGCGAATTTGGCGAGATCGAGCCAAATTTCTACATCAACAACTACCATAGTATATGAAAATTTTCCTTCCATTTAGATCGAACACTACCTTCCTTTATGGGAAGATGAGTCGTTCACAAAAAGTCTCGCGTTAATGTGATCTAGCTTTTCAATTGTTTTAGTTTTGTTTTGTTTCATTTCTCATGATACTAAAAATACACCTATAAAAGTTTGGGAACTAAAATATGAATTTATTTATTTTTTTGAATACAACATTGGAGGGGAATGATCAAACTCACAACTTCTTGGTTGGAGATATATGTCAATCGTCGTTGAGCTATCCTCATTTTGGTACGAGTTTGTTTAAATATAAAGTAAATATAAAAATGAATCAATACAATGTAATTAAATTAAACTAAAACACCGAACGCCAAAGAATATGAAAATTGGAGTGCGAATCCTCTTGGCAGTTGGAGAAGCACAAGCCCACCACCCGGATGAAGCACCAAAACTTTGAACGACCGCGTTTCAAAGTTTGACTTATCTTCAAACCAAATTGATTAAAATAATATATTTTTTTCGGAGTCAGCCTATGAAGTTGTTAGTTAGCACAGACTCCGTTGACTATTGACCATGCGTCCAAAATAATAACCACCACGTTTAATAAAAGAAAACGTGACGGATGTAATTTTTATTTCTTCCAAAAAAAAGACTGAAAAATAGTCAATGAATTTAATTTACCCTTAGGTTGGATTATAAATTTATTTTGATGAATTAGTTATAATCAATTAAATTTTTTTGGGATTAATTAGATTGGTTTGTAAGTTATTCTAAAATTAATTGTGAGTTGAAGGGAGGTAATTAGTTTCATTTATGTTATTTTTAAATTTATTTTATATCCAATAAATTTTGACAAATACTTAGAAGTATTTCAAACATAGTTCCAATTAAGTAAAATTTGATCATTAAACAACAAATATTTTAACTTCTTTCGAATAAGGAAATAGAGGTTCAAGATACTAACATTTTCATTAATCTAAATATTTTATAGTTGAGTCGAAGTAAATCTACCGTTTTAACTATAATCATTTACATCTAATAAAAACCCAGTGCATTTTGTATAGATCGAGACTTGTTGCAGGTGGATACTTAAAAAAAATAGTGTAGTTTAGAAAAAATATTAGAATAATTTTCTAACTAATTCTAAATAGGGTAGATAAATAATTAAATCATTTAGATTTTGACAAATTCATCTTTACCTACTTTACTTTTGAATACTTTTATTTAATTTACAGTATATTTAACATTACTTCGAAAACTACTTTAATTTTAAATTAAAAAAAATACATTATCCTTGAAATTACACCTCTAGTTGTAAATTTGTAGTTGGCAATCAATTCAATTGGGTTCAAAAATCAAAAGTTTCTCCACCTAACGCAACTCACCCATACTTTTGTAAATGCCCAATTGTCAAGGAGCGAAGAAAATATCTCAAAAACGCAGAAAAACCCATAAAAGATACCATTTCTTAAATAAATTATTAATAATATTACAATTCTAACATAATTTTACATGCTCAACTATCTTGTGAATATTTAAAAAACAAAAATATATTAATATCAAACTTCAACTTTCAAGGGGAGTGGTGTTTTGAATTCCCAACCATTATTTGATTATAGATAAATGTCTTAGCGAACTATGCTCAAATTGACAATATTCATTTCGTTATCGATTTATCCATTTATCATTTACCCAATTTACCATACATAGGTAACACTCAAAGCTTAATATTTGAAATATAGATTTTTTACTGGCGTTCCCCTACAATTGTTTTCGAGAGTAAAACTTCACCTTATAAACTAACACGAGTCTTTGTAACCCCTGTCATTGGTAATACTATATTAATAAATAAAAAAATGTCCATGAAAGCATACTTCACGACCAATAATTTGTTTATATCTGAAAAGACAAAGTTTGGCTCTGGATTGTTTGAACATCTCCCGGGGTAGTTGGAGGAGCGAGTATCAGCGTTGGTGGGCTGGGCCTCCTTTTTAACATGGGTTTTGTTTCTTTTTTTTATTTATTATTATTATCATTCATTTTATTAATTTTTTTTAATAATCGATTTAATAACCGGCTAATTAGCTCATTTCGAAAACGTTTCGTGTAGGTAAACTCTTTTTTGTTTTTCTTTCTTTTAGCTATAAAGATGCATTGATCTTACAAAATCAGCCAATCAGATGAGTTTTTTTCCCTTTTCTAATTACTTATAGTTTCTATTATTAAGAAAAATTGCAACCTTTTGATGGGAATTGTAATAATAATTATAAATAGCATATTTTAATATTA